TTTCATGTATAAAATACTGAGCTATATACATTAGCAGCCACGAATCATTGTTAGTATGGAGCAATATTTAAATATTATTTGTTGTTACTTTATATTCCTTGAACACCGTCCAAAGATGGATTCGAAACTGTAAGTGATTATTAAAATGTGAAATGATCTTTAAAAGAAATGTTCTTTTCATGTATTTATGTACATGTCACCAGAAGCACGTAGTAAATGTAAATTAATCTTCCTATCAACACTACTTAAAATCATTAAGAAAATGTTGTTAATTTAGTTGTGAAATGGTGTTCGATATTTTAATTGTAAATGAAATCCATTTGCTTCGAATCAAGTCTCGCGATCGAAGCCTTCCATAAATATGCTTTATCATAATTCCGTACTCTGTTCATGTGAACGTAGAGAAAATTAAAATAATAAGTAATAACAATGACAGTGATAGTATCTACGTGTACGCGTACATTTTGTCTCGTTAATGTTATATACCGTTCTGTCTATTTAAAGTTTATGGTATGTGTAACGTATTAATGTACAGATCCCATTCGTCTTGTAAATGTGAGTACCGTGTGTTGCTTTCATTGTGACGTTCGTAGAAAAGGAACTGTCTGTTTAAGGGAGAGAAAATGTGCCAAGAGACATACGCGATTTTTCCATAAATGAAGGGTAACAGTCGTGGAGGGGTGAACGACGACATAATCTATTTCTATATGTCATGACAAAAGTATATATTTACAAGATCTATCTGTGAATATCGTAAAGGTAACAAATGTAATATAGTCATCAGTTTTCATATGTATTATCGATCTTGAATGTAATTTGTTAAATTATCCGTATACATGCTATTCTTCATAGAGTAATATAAATATTTGTTTTGTCGATAATTGTCAAAGCGGATTGAAACAAATTCTATATTTATTGAGGAAGATAAGATATAATTTTGAAATCTTTGAACGTGTTAATAATAAATACGTAGCATGTATCGAACCATCCTTTGTTTCTGAGGAACATTTTATTTAGCACGTTGTGTAACAATTGTTACGACACTATGCATAATTCTTCAAACGATACTATATATAGAGTGAAAAAATAATTTATTGAAATGAAACAATGGCGTAAAAATATATCACATGTACACTTTGAATAATAATCGTATTGAATACAAAAAATTGCAGAAAATAGTTTTCTCTTTGAAAATATTTTACTACTTACAATGAAAATTTAATAAATACAAAATATGCATATCTCTGCAGTATTTTTATCATTCGAAGTGTCTTTAATATTATATTATGTTGTAAATTCTTACAATATCAAATATATATGTGGATATAGCTGTCTAAATGTACGATGATTAATCGGTAATCACTGCAATTTGATCTTTTGGTCCTCGATGGTTAAGCGTTTTTAATGTATACGAAAGTTGGGTTTCAATCGAATCCGACTTAGTCTCAGTTGTTCTGTTCAAAATCCTTGTTTTCTCTTTTTTTGTTTAGTATAATTATATTCAACTTATGTGGAGCCATACAAAAGTGTTCAGTATACGCAGAACATGTTGGGTGATCCGTACAATATTGTGTTACGCTTATCAGTTGTGTGATCACAAATTATGAAGCTTTATGACACGAAAAAGTCAGCATGAAAATATAAACAGTCACATGCAGTACAGTGGCACAGTTTCAGTATTATGTTCATTAGCTTTCGTAATTTGTGACTATGTTAAAATTTTTTCTATAAACAATCGTTGTGTGTCTTTATGTAACATACTACGATCCATTCTATGTGTACGTAGGTATGTATATACATTGCTATGTACGCGATGGTGTAACCGTGAAACGAATATGGCATTCTTAAGTCAAGACGACTCGTATTTAAATTAAAATCCCCCCCAGAAAAAGTGTCATGGGCACAGCGTTCTTTTCTTCTCGTATAAAAAGAAAAAAAAACAAAACTAATTCACTACTGCCCGATACGTGCATTACATTGCACAATTCCGTAAGTATTACTATTATTGTCATTAATAGGTGGACCTTTTCGATTTAAAAAAAAGATCAAACATAAGCATCACCTATTGTCCTGTTAAAATTAGTTTGACTTTTTGGCAAATTAAAGCTAATCGGGGTGACAATGCCGATGTCCCCCGTTTAAACATCATGAATTTTTGTGAAGCTCTGTCGTGGCCTCCTGGAGTCTGAAAGAAAAACATCAGTTATTATACTTCGTGAAACCTCAACTCTGATAAAATACCAAAAAAAAAAAAGCATATACCTTCGAAGTTCTCCTTGAATACGATCTGTGATTGCTTTTCTCACTTCCATCTCGCTCATTTTCGACGAACGGAATTGTTGTAGTAATTCGCTAAAATCTATAGGGTCACCGTAGTTCATGGTGACCTTTTTTCGGATCCTCAACACGTACGGTGGCTCGTTAGGGAGCACTTCGTCCATGCCAAGGTGATAAATTGGTATCACTAATGGTGTAACGGGTGATTCCATTATTAACCTTCCAACGCCCCACTTCAATCTGTAGCACAAAACAGAACACCGAATCTGATGGAATTATACGTTTATCAAATTAATCGGTAAAGAAAAGATAAACGAAACAGTAGAGAAATTTTTCTAGAAATGGAACGAGAAAGTAAGAAAAACTGAAATAAAATAGGAAAATAAACGAAACATAAACCTCATATTTTCTTTAAGCATGTTTACTTTCCCCTCGGGAAATACATGAATCCATTCCCCTGCGGCTAACTTCTCGATGCAGAAATCCATGGCCTCCTGATGGACACCGCCACCTCTGATCACGGGAATGCATTTGCCCAGCATAAAGAAGTACGAGTGCCAGGACTTGGTGAAACAAATGTCGTGGGCGGCAAGCGACCATCTGACCTTACGTGGATTCAGCAAGTTCTTCATGCTCAGGGACGCTAAATGAGTTCAGAGATTTTTCTGTCTTAAATTCTTTCATTCCATCGCTTATCGACGGTCATTCTGAGGAAGAAAAGATTATATACGCTCAGGAAGAAGAGGAATGTATGTGTGTATGTATATATACTTCCAAATAATCGATATTTAATTATAGGGGACAGAGAAAAAAATGAGTGACACGTGAAGATGGATCCATGCATTTTCTCGCTCTCATAATAGATCGATTATCAACTCATCCTTGACTTCTTTTTTTTTGTAAAAACGGAACATTACGAATGGTACGAATAAACAAATATTCATGAGAACGGAAATGAATTAAGCTTGTGTCATTTTAATGGTATTATCTATATGAATCAATTGACTGTTCAATATCAGTAAGGATTAGTCCCCACCGTATTAAGAATTTAGTCCGCCATGTTTTTTTGGCGCAAAAATACAAAACTAGGATACTTTTCAGCAAGAAAAAAAAAAGCATAGAAGAAGGTAACCTCTATGGTTATCGGTGAAATATATTTCACGTTTTTAGAATCTAAAAAAATATATAGTGCCACTTGAATTATCTTACTGTCGCCTTGAGTACGCTTCGTTGATCGATACGTACAATTAAATGCTAGTTAATAACACGCGACAATCGAGATAGAAGGCCGAGTGTTGAGTGTTTAACGAAGGCAACGGTCGATATAATGGCGCGATCGTTGAACCATATCAGTGGGACTTACCCCATATGCCCGGATCGTCGAAACAACTGTGATGATTCGACACGGTGATGAGAGGCACATTTTTCGGCCGTCTGTGTAACGCTCGTTCGATGATACGCTTGTTGTACACCGTCGTTCTGTTCAGCCATTCTTAAACAGCACGAACAGGAAAAGAAATACGCTTCGGTAAATTAGTATCGCATCTTGGGTAGATGGGCAACGGTGCAGCGCGTGTATACGGTTTCCATGGTAACGTGTGTATACATATAGCGAATACACATGGTCGCCGAGAAACACGCTTCATCTTGACTTTGCATAGAATTGGCTTTTTTCAATGGTTAGTGAAGTGTGACTTGCACTCGCGCTTTGGCGAGTGCCATGATTTTATGGTAAACCCGTTTTATTCATGCTTGGCTGCTTCGGTTAATCGTTTTCTACACGAAATTGTAAAGCTTGGTCGTGAATATGATTGTTATAAGCACAGATTAAGCAATGACCGTGAACTAGGCGATTTCTAGGTGGTAATCGATATCCTTATCTGTAAGATTCCAGAACAAACATTTCTTCCTCTTTTTTTGAAAATAAATGAAAAATAAATTAAAGTTATTGTCTTTCTCTGTTTAACGATGTTTTTTCATTTTTTATTTCGCAGGCTAATACACTGGTCATCAAGAGGGTTCAACGTCCTCCATACAAGGTCATTCAAGGTCACAAGGAAATATCGAAATAATATTTCAAGTATGCTTGGTTGATAACATACAGATTACAAGAATGTTTGGACATCTGTAGTGAAAAAAAAACATCGATAAAGAAATATTATTTTATCCTTTTTCCATAATGTCGCATGAACTCGCACGTTTGCAACGGTGCTTCCTAAACACACCGTCAGATGGCTTTCCAGCTAGTTTTAACAATAGTACACATTCGTTTAACAATTATCAGTGCACATGTAAATTAGAAAAGTAATCACATCGATTACCTAGCAAAGAAGTAGCCTATATACATACGTAAAAGCACGTAAATGTAACGTGACAGCGTAAGCATAGTGGGAATGGTGTAACAGATGAAAGAGCAAGTGGTTATGTAAAATTCGTTCGGACGTGATCTAGAGACGAAACTGAATCGGGAGAAATGAATGGGCAGCTATTACACGTGGAGAAATTGATAAAACGAATAAAAAGAGAAGAGTGGTGATGAGAGTAGGGAGTGACGGAGAAGGGAGTGGGGGAACGGCCGCGTATAGCACGCTACGCGACCAACCAATTGAGTAAAGCGCTTAATTTCCGAAGTTTATTGTATCGTGGCTAAGTCAACACCGAGCCGAGTACTGTTATAAATCAGTAGTACTCACTGAAAGGCCACCTAGGGCCAATCACTGATTTCCTGTGCCCTTCAATGGGCGGTAACGCGTACACAACTCTACCTGAAAGTAGAAACAGCATATCTGGCAAAAAGAAAAAAAAAAAGAAACATGGCGTGGAAATCAACTTCCGTTTTTCTAGATTAACACGCAACAATTCGTAACAGATTAGGCTATCAAGTCAAAGTACAAAGTTTTCAAATTAAAACCACGCGCGTGAACTCCACACACGAGCAGTACGTTAATTTAAACTGAACATTAACACTACATTAAATATTAATGAAAAGTAACGTTCGATTATACGCAGGATTCTTTTTTTCTCACTACGTTACGTGGGTAGATTCGTTGAGATGTGAACACAAAGGTTCGATTAAAGTATGGTGTCGCACTTGCGTGCCGTGCTTTTAATGGCGCCATGTTAAAATAAAACTTGCGTGATCAATTCTAATTTAATGAAGTGTGTATCAGACACTTAAATGTATTACAATCGCACCTCAGTGGCTCTATTTCGTTCATTTCGTTATTTTTTACTTTTTTCTTGATCATCTTTAATCTTTGTTTAATAAAACGGTATAACAGAACGAAGTAGCTGTTAATAATCGAAGTTTTAATCGTGATAGAACTATGATCTTATAACCGTTTTACACGAAGCGTAAATTCAACTGAAAAGTTAAATTTAAACGTATTCACTGACGTAAAAACTGCATTAAGTGGTGATAAAGGTGAACTCTGAGACAAATATCACATGTATCGTTCACTTCTGGCGTATTATATTGTTTTTTCTTGCATCGTGTAGCAAGATTCAACGATACTCTATATCAGTTTTCAATTTTATTTGATAAGAAGATTAATGAGCAACGATATGTTGAAATTGTGCGATTTGTATAATGATCTATTTCAAGTATTCTTATTAATACACATTCTATAGAGAGCATACGCATGCACGTGTTATTCACATTTGAAACATGAAGATCATGTAATTTTCCCACATGCATGAAATTGTGAAAGGCAGTTATCATTTAACATTTAAACATAGATAAACATTTTTCAAATTTCACATATTATTCCAATAAAATCATTACAAATATTAAAATATCACAGAAAATATAACATACTCAGGTTATGTTTGATAAAGTTATTACACTGAATCGACGATTATCAAAGCGATTAAATACAATGAGATTCTATTATGTTACACTATTACATAAATCAGCAATGTTTTTCAATATCACGTTGCAATATTTCGCGCGCTTAGTTAGAAATAACAAATTCTTTCAGTTCGATTGGCGTTCAACTACCTTTTTTGTGATTTGAATCGTAAAAATGGACTACAGAACACACCCTTATATCACTAGTCAATGTATCATGCTTCAAAATGTAAAAAAAATTTGCAACACAAAGAGAACAATTTTCTACTGCATGTTGGAACAATCTCCAACAAATAAATTGCTGAATGTTGAGAAATAAACAGTGCTGATTTTTATTAAAAAACCGGCTCATACAGCCGCTTACCTATAATGATTTTAGAGACAATCCCTACTGCTACACAGGTTATACTACTCGCAATGTTCCAGAGACTGCTTGGATTTCGAAGCTGCGGTATGATCCATTTGATATCGTATACCATCGCACTGTCTTCTGGTGGCCAGATCGAAGGAAAAAATAGCAGTGCGACACTTTTTCCGGACGATAGGGAAGCGCCTTCCCCGCGAGAAATCGTCTACTCTTTCGTAACTCACGACAACCATCTTCGTGCCAACTTCACGCCATATTTCCCGATAACCGTCACGTGGTTACCCGAACGCTGGCGAACACGGCCGGAACTTCGCGACCACTGAATCATTTAATTTCAAATTAAACGCGCTTCGAACACTTGTTCTCGCGTCGACTAACGTGTAAACACCTCTCGTTAATAACCCGACTGTAATTATTCTTTTTCTAAAATAACACAAGGAGTCGTAAATTACTCAATTATTTGAAATATATTACAACTTAATTTGCTTATATAATTGGGACATCTGGTTAACTTAAGAATCATTTTTCTTTGCTTTAAAGTTTCAGATATGAACTATAATATAATGTAGATTTAATGAATTTTTTTGTGTTCATGTACATTGGACCTTGCTATACCAATAATTGATCAATGACATCTACAAGAAATTATTCAGTAAATCGTATGTACTTTGAACCATGATTACCAACATAAAATCCCCACAACAATACATGTACATGTAGAAAATACTAATAACCTTATACGGTACAAATAAGTTTTTACTATACAAAAAGTAAAAGATAAAACATATAAATGTCAAATTAGCAATTACAGACATAAAAACAGTAAAAGTGATAAACAAACGTGTAAAGAAATATCAAGAGTGCATAATATATGTTTATGCGATACTTACATAAAATACGACTGTACGAATAGCCCCATCCCGTTCCCCTAACCCAAGAATTTCAATGAGACGACACTAAAAGAAAACCGTTTCACTTTTCCGACAGTGGTAAACAAATTTATGGGCACATTATCCTAAACGGTGGTAACGCAGTCTCGTTAGCGCAACTCGAAAATTGCGAGGGATACATTATAATAATCGTAGCACGCTTGTAGCCAGCGTAATAGTAAAATGCCCGGAAGATCTTGCGATAACCATTCACTGGACGAACGGATGTACAATAAGACGCAGATGTCTACGAAGTTGTGCCTCTGGCGGTGACGCTGCACTTGCAATGTCAGCCGAACACCTATCAGAAGTTCCTGCCGTGAAGAAACACCAGGACGGTTATGAACAGGGGGTGGTGAGGTGGGGGTAGAAGGCGTACACGACGATCGAGTACATACATTAGGAGCTTCAGGTTAAGTTCATGCACAGAGAAAGAAAGGACGAAGTATACGGGAGCATCGAAGGAGGTGAAAAAGAAGGGAAAAGATACAATGATGCGAGGCAGAGTCGTTGGGAGCGGGGGAGGGACGCGAGGAGAATGTCCGGTGGCATGTGGGATGTGGTGGGGATGCCTGACGCGAGCAGAGAAGCAACCAGTCGAAGGGGCCCTGAGAGTGGGGGAAAAGGGCCTCATCTCAACAGCCAGTCCGATTCGAGTCTCTCGACTGCGTGTTGCCGTGCCATCGTACATACGAGGTACCCTTCCAGTTTACAACTGTGGAGAGGATACCTTGAAGCACCATACTGAGGCGAATCGTGTACCATTCGAGAATCGACCGCAAAGTGTCCTCTTCTTCGCGACTTATATACTTCTTCTATCACTTCGTCCTCGAGAAACGACGCGCTATTCCGTGACGAAAACACATTTGAACTTGACACGACCGTATCGGTCTACAGTAGAATGCAATCAGTTCATTTGATTTGATAGTTTCTTTTTTCTTCTTATCCACCTTTGTAACCTTGAAATGACAGTTCCGATGGCGATATTAGCGCTACTGCCGACAACGCGCTTGTCTTACGGTAAGTTTCCCGATCGTTGAACCGCGAACAGTTACCGAATACGTCCGCGAAGTGGTGCTGTTCGTCTCGCTGCGAAATACGAGACTTCGATAGTGATGCGATAGTAAGAGAAAGAGGGGAAAAAAAGGTATCGAGAGAAAAACGGTGAAGCGTGATCGGTGGGGCAGGGGAGAGAGATAGTAGAGGAGAAGCGTGCGAGTGCAAAAGAGATAGAGTGAGAGAAACAGAGCGAGAGGGAAAAGAGCGAGCCGAGCGTTCGGCTTGACTCGAGTGCAGTGTACGGTGATGCCGCGAGGATGCCACCGTCGTCGGTCCTCTCGACACGATATAGGACGGTGCGACGGTACACCGTGATCTGCCGGGGCCCCTCGATTCTGTGCCACGACGTAGCGCTGTTACTCGCGCGGTGCGGTGATTCGCATTCGGCGATGCGACAAGCCAGGAATCCTCTTATCCAATAGTGATTCGCGAGTGAAGCTTTCGAAGACAGATCGGTTCGTGTTCGCGTTCGCCTGTTTGTGTATGTGTGTCGCCACGAGCTACGAGCAAGACATCGTTCTTTGTTCAAAAACAAACAACGAGACCGGCGTACGATCAACATCAGGAGGAACGGTGAATTCGTATCCTGACTTGAACATCCCGAGCTATACCGAGCATCGTAGTTTCAGCATCTCGGCTGCAGCAGAGAGAAAGCAACAGGTAGGTGTACGTGTAGAGTGTGCGTCGTTCCGTATTCTTGGTGGTGCACGTTTATACGGTCGCGTTCGCGCACGGACGTGCGCGCATGCTCTTGATCGAAGATCTCCCCGTGCACAAGGCAACATACAGAGCGAGCAAGCAGCAACTCTCTGTGTGTATACGTGTCTTTCATCGCGGAAGAACTCCAGTTCAGCTTGAGCGAGGCGAGGTCGTCTTCTTGCATCTGTACCCCAGTACATACGCGTTTTGCTACTCTTATACTTGATCTCCCTTTTTGAATAAGATGACCGTGCGAAATAATCGCGCTTACGGTCGTAGAATTCGCATAAAGCTTCCTTTCTGTTAATTTCATGCGTTTCCTGCGCGAAAGATCCATTCAATTTTATTATATAGCCAATTTATTCGAACGTTTCGTTTCGATGTACGGAATATAACGATCACACTGTATGTAAGTTTAATTCAATTGGCGATGTATGCTGACGCTAATTAAACATCATATCCTTCTCGAACGAAGTTCATGAAACAAAGTTACTTTGATCGTTCCGCGGGTTTCGAACGGCACTCGTTAACGAAAGTTTACGTCCTCGTTCGGTTGTCCCCCTTCTTCACATTTCGGAAGTCCACTGAATTCCGCTCTCGACATTCGTATCGACTTAACGACAAGCAAAGCCGTAAAATCTCTGAACGAACCGGTGTGTATCGATTTCGAATACTTACATTGGCTTTTTACGTAGATTTCAATGAAGATTATCGCGACTGTAGATTGTCGTGTCGAAAATTTTGATGCGGAAACTGCGAATCCCTGTTTTTCGACCATGGACCACCTATTCTTTTCCAGGGAATGTTAATTGGTCGTTTCACGAATTATAAAGTACCAAGGGGGAGAAGATTCAAGACAGCCAGTCGCTATCGCGTCCATTAACATACCTGAGTTCGCCCTATCGTTGCCCCGTTGTACGCTAGCGACGCTTAATGCTAACGACGCAAAAAGATACTAATTACGGCAACCTGCAGCCACTTCTTCTACCATATCCAGAGCGTAGCCCACTTTCCTTATTTCCTGCGGTTTGCGTTTTGGCCAAGTTGTGAGTAGCAATTATGGCAACTTAGACTAATTATTGTCGTTTATTTGCTGCTCCGATGGAAATTGTGAAGGTTCGTTTACCAGTGTTTGCGCCAGGCGGTGTGGTACAGCTACAAAACGTTCCTTGCAAGATGGCGTGTAATATTATATACAGGATGATAATCGTACGAACGAAATAACGGAGCACGACGTAAATTGGATTTCGAGAGTAGCGGGGTTTTGGTTCGCGAGAGGGTATGTCAGGATGACGACGGAATCTTTCATGCGAAAGTGCATGGTGTTTGTTAGTATAGTTAGTAATTTGACGGGGTAACAAAACTCGCTTGAAGAGGTTAGAACAATTATTAATTTTCATCGGTGACTTCCTAATGCAAAGGCTGAAGAATATTTTGTTCCCTTTAATGACCCCTGTTAAGTTTCCACTTATAATTCAGAAACTCTCTAACCTATATAAAAAGGGACGCATTTTATCGAAGATCTGTTCGAGTAAAGCTTGAAACACGCATCGAATGAAATTATATCCCAACAAATATGACTTGCCTCATACATAGCTTTATTAAAAGTGCAACGCGTAGGTAATCTCTCGGTTACGATGATCAGGCGCGCGTATCATTTCGTTTGCGGCTGTGAAATTCGACTTTTTACTCTCTCCTGGAATCTGACCTCCATTCAGCGTGGTAAATCGCGTGAACTACTGTCGCTCAAGAAGGAATCTGTGCTATTACCGATATATACATTCCGGGTTAAGCGATAAGCACGGTTCATCGGGGAGCATGAAGATGGGAATGTCGATCCAACATGGAATGTCGGTCAACAAAGTAATAAGGTTATTGTGCTTGCCACCATGGTGCTAATTGTAGGTAGAAACGTTGGCGCGTTTAAATGTCACAGATATGGCGTCGGATATGAGAGACTCGTAAAGAAAATGATCCAGGGGATTTTATATAATGATACGAGCGTTGAGAAGCTATTTAAAATAAAAGGGCAGGTATGATGTTGTAGTTAATCGTCCGTCTAATTTCTCTCCGTGTATCACGGTACATGCAAGGTGCAATTGTATCGGATGGTAAAGTATCACGTATACTGTTCTCGGTGTAATCGTTTTTCTGTCCTTCGCGATTTTACAGACCGTGGCACGTGACAGTCGCAAGACCATGAGCGACCTTGTAGTTCCTGTCACGGTCTTTCATAAAAGTCCACCTCGCCTTATTGCACGTTGGGGGTCGTGTAATGACGCCGTGGTTAAATCGTCGCGTTCGTTCTTTTTCTCTTGACGATGCCAATTTCTGTATGCCTACCGTGTGCGCGCGCAGCCACGATTGACCTTCGGCGTAGTATGTTACCCTCGTTCAGAACACGATCGAACCCCCCGTTGTTGACGGAGCTCTTTTCTTCGTTTTCTTTCTCCTTCGAAAATTTCGTTTTCAGTTAATTTCATAATCCCGTGGCCTGTTTCCCCTACAATTTTCAATTTCATTTTATCGGCTGTGACCAAGTGTTCAGGGCGGGAGAAGAGCGAAAAAAAAAGGTAATCGACGATCTCGCTAAACGGCGGGATAACTTATCGACTTTCGTTCCCGGTGGTTTTGTTTCGTTTACCACGCACGCACAGCTGCGCCATTATTTTTGATCGCATCTCGGGACGGGAAATATTTATAATACCGTCGGCGAAAAAACGGCGAAACAAAAGCAGCAGCGTTTAAGGATACAAGGATACGAGGTAGAAAAGAAGGGGGGCTTGGGGATGAGATGATGAAACCGTCGGCGTTTCTCGCGCGGTACTCAAAGATTTTCGTTGTAATAAAATTTCTAGAAAGGTGTAATTACCTGGTGTCGGTTAATCGACTTGCGATCGAAGCGCACACGGGACATCGGTTACCCGTTAATTACCGGCTTCCATTATTAATTCGAGCAGGGCGTAATCGCTCGTGTTCCTCCCTATTAGATGGCGCCTTTAATTAATTATTTTCGCGGCACCACCTTGTTGCGGCCAAACAAGAAAATACCGTGTTGCCGCGAGAATGTCGAGTTAAAAAGTGTACCAACTTCGCTTGCAGTGAAACTGAAGGGCAGGAGGAGGGAAGGTTACGGGAGACAGGTATGACAAGACAAGATTGAGGAGACCATTCTTAAATTTGACCAAGATTGATGACCAATGTAACCCCGGTAAAAGGTCCTCACCCGATGGTGGTTTT